TTTTTTTTTTTTTTTTTTTTTTACATTTTTTTTTCAACGTTTTTATTTATTTTTGGGACAGAGAGAGACAGAGCATGAACGGGGGAGGGGCAGAGAGAGAGGGAGACACAGAATCGGAAACAGGCTCCAGGCTCTGAGCCATCAGCCCAGAGCCCGACGCGGGGCTCGAACTCACGGACCGCGAGATCGTGACCTGGCTGAAGTCGGACGCTTAACCGACTGCGCCACCCAGGCGCCCCTGTTGATGCTTCATAAAGCCTTACTTTGAAGGATGTGACGAAATGCACTGTTACATGTGTCTTGTGGTACAAACCAGGCCATTACCTCTACTAGAACTCACCATGATATTTGAATGACTCCTACCTTCACTTGAAGAGTGCCCATTCCTATAGGAATTTGCAATAACACAAGTTTGTCTTATATTTAAATGTGATGCTATTTTGATGAGTAAATGTCTGAATTTCCATTTTCTTCTATATGCAATATTCTCAAGTGCAGAAGAAATGCTGTTCAAATTACAGCAATAGTATCTGAGATTCTCATTAACTATGTTCGGTTTAGGGGCATCTGGGTGGCTCAGTCAGTTGAGCGTCCGACTTCGGCTCAGGTCATGATCTTGCGGTCCGTGAGTTCGTGCCCTGCATCAGGCTCTGTGCTGACAGCTCAGAGCCTGGAGCCTGTTTCAGATTCTGTGTCTCCCTCTCTCCCTGTCCCTCCCCCATTCTCACTCTCTCTCTCTCTCTCTCTCAAAAATAAACATAAAAAAACAAAACAGTGTTCAGTTTAAGTGTTAATTGCTGGTCATGAGGTGGACTTCAGACTATCCTTCAAGATCCAATCAAAGCTATTTTCCCGATAGTCCAAAGATGAATCCTTTGTGGGTTTACAAAAATAGACACACTTTACCCAGTAATTCTTCATTACTGGATCATAGATTTTTTAAACTGAAAACAGCCAATACCTTTCTTTTACAGATGGAAACTAATACCCAAAGGTCCTAAGTGATTTGCCCAAGGCAAACAAATAGTCAGAATCTACATCTTTCTATTGCAGTGCTCTGCTTTTACAATGTAATCGGAAAGAAACCATCAAAGTGGATAATTAAGATAGACTAAAAGATATAAGAAGAACCATGGGTTCAGGTATTTAAAAGAGAAGCCAAATAAATCGGTACAAGGTCAGCCAGACATTTCCAAAAACTATAGCCAACAACAATAATGGCTTCATATAGCCTCTATTTGTCAACAACTCCCAAATTTGTATTTCTACACAGACTCTTCTGAGCTCCAGAACCATATGTCTACCTTCCCATTTGACATCCCCACTTGGATATCCTACAGGCATCTCACATTTAACTTGTCAAAAACTGAACCCTTGATCTTCTCTCCTAAATCTGCTTTTCCTCCTGTGCTTCACATCTTGGGTAATGGCGCCTCTGTCCATTCCAGAAACTGCCAAGGATCCTTAATGCCTCCCACATCTCACCTTCCGTATCCATCAACAAGACATATTTTTTCCTTCTATAAAATATGTCTCAAGTATGCCCGTTTATTGCCATCTTCGCTGTCATGGCTCTAGTTCAAGCCATCATCCCTCATCTGGGCCACTGCAAAAGCCGCCTAACTGCTGTCTGTTTTCATGTCTGCCTTTCTCCAATTTATTCTCCATGTGGCAGATCACTCTTCAACTTAGAAGCCTGCATTGGCTTCCCGTGTTAATTAGGGAACAATCTGAAATGCAGAACATGGCCTACAGTGCCCTGTGGGACTTGATCCTGCCTACAGCTTCAGCCTCGTCTCATGCCACTTTCCCCTGGCTCATTACAGCCCCACCACAGTGGCCATTTGAGATAGAGATACGCCAGTGGCTTCTGTGCATTGGCATCTCAGCACATGCTATTACATCCTCCTTCCCCAAAAGTCTTACGCCAGGCATTTACCAGCTAATGCCTTCTCATTATAAATTCCCAGCTGAAATCTTGCTTCTCCAGAGCCTGCCTATAATCCCTGTGCCAATCTGAGTCATATCTTCCTTTTTAACCTCATATTGTATCTCACTGAGAAGATAGTCATAGAACAAAGATTTAAAGGAAGCAAAGAGGAAAATGAGGAACTAGGGAACTAGCATGTTCTGTTTTTTTACTATGTGACATAAGCTGTACTGGGGACATTAATTCATTGGTTCTCACTACAACCCTGTTAGGCAGGCATTTTTATCGTTATTTGGAGAGGTTTGCATGGCATTTTCTAAATGAAGTAAAATTGGGCTGATACTGGTAGCTGAATTAAGTCAGCCGAGAAAGGAAAAAAACCAGTTGCTTAAATTGTGCAAAGCAGCAGTTCACTTGGTGTTTTCTACCATTTGCTGTGACCGTGGTTAACTCATGCCAAAACTTCCAAGTGATTCAAAGTTGACAAAAAAGACATCAGACAAGGCAAAAGGAGCCTCTCAGTCATGTCCCCAAAGCCAGCCATATGGAATGATCTGAACCTGCTTGATCACATGAACACCTCCAGGCTGTTGCCACTTCAGAGGACCATCAGACTGAGATATCAGCTGGAGGGACCATCTGACTCCACTGGACAAACCTCCACTGGAGGTACAGGACTCTGCAGACTCAGAACCTAACTCCACCAGGCACATAGAGGGGAACATCCTTCTGGAGACTAACATAAATCTATTTATTCCAGTATGAAAAGAGCTACCACAAAGCATGATAAATTTGAAGCCATATATTTCTGGACTTGTATCCTGACTCTACCAATTAACAACTGAATGACTTAGCTGCTATTAAGTCTCAGTTTCCTCATCCATGAATGAATATGATAACACCTGCCTTGCTATTTTGTTCTGAGAAGAGGAGACCATTTATGGAAAGACACCTGACACAGGGGCACCTGGGTGGCTCAGTCAGTTCAGCATCCAACTCTTGATTTCAGCTCAGGTCACGATCACGGTTCCTGAGTTCGAGCCCCATGTCAGGCTCTGTACTGGCATTGCAGAACCTGTTTAAGATTCTCTCTCTCTCTCTCTCTCTCTCTCTCTCTCTCTCTCCCCCCTCCCCCCCTTCCCCTGCTCTCTTCTCTCTCTCAAAATAAATAAATAAATAAACTAACTAAAAAAAAAAAAAAAAAAAAAAAAAAAAGAAACCTGACACAAGTAGCAAATGATGGAAATATTAATATGCAATCAGTGCAGGAAGAATGAAATCATCATGATGGATTAGACCAACCATGACTCATCCCCTAGGACTGATGATGGGACGGCTTCCCTTGAAATACATGGTCACATAGAGAAGACCTAAACAAAAGCAGCATTCCCTTAGGAAGAGGGACACGGGAGAATGGATGCCAAATTAGCAATCACTCACCTATTCCATACCCACTCCATAAATGGAAAAGTTGCTTCCTCTCTCATCCCAACCACTTCTTATCTGTACAATGAGGTGTTTGGGTTTTATCATCTGCAAGAGCCCTCCTAGCTTTGATCCAGTGGATCATCCTGAGATAATATTAATATTCTTTACAGTACAGCATAATGGTTCAAAACATGGGCTTCAGAGACCGTTCTGGATTTGAACCCTATTGGCTATGTGATACAGGACATGTTAGTTGGCCATTCTGAGCCTCAGCTTCTGCAAATTGGGGATGATAATATCTACTTTATAGGATTATGGTGAAAATTAAGGTAGATAGTGCTTGTAAAATACTGAACTATGCCCAGATATGGTAGCCACAAGATCACTTATGTTGTTAAGGATTTTGAGGTTTCACTATAAATGTTCCAGGATTTTTATGAATTTAGCAGCAATTTTGAACAAAACCAAATTACATGTGGACAAGTAAGAAGATAAGTTTTGAATAACAAATAATCATTAGAAGCCATAAACTGTTCAGGTCATGCATACAAAATATACTAAATTTTTTTTTTCCAACCATGGTTTTTAGCAGGTCAAATTCAGGAGAGAAGCATTTGGGAAATTCTGGATGTAGTCAATTAGAAGCAGTTGGATAAGAGACTGACATCAGGATCAAGTTATAGTTAAGACCACCCTGGGCCCTCTCTCCTGGTCAGCTGAATTTGGAAGGGGGAGAGAGGTAGGACTGAGGAGAATGGAAGGGAAGTGTATCATTAATTGGAACCTCAGACAAAAAAAAAAAAAAAAATTCTGTGTGTGTAGAGGTAAGCAGGCCGCCCCCAGCCTCGGGGAATCTTCTGAACACGCATGGAGCTGTTCTTTCTCAGGAATGGTGCTCTGCAGTATGGTGCATCCTGGTCTGTGCAGTAGTAGCAAACTGCCATATGATGATGCTCACCTGTGTGCATTCAAACAGCAGTGTGTATCCTTGTACACCAGCCGGCACATTTGTCTTGAACAACCTATGACAGAATTTCAGGATGTCTCCCTCACCGAACCCAAAGGCAGAATATAATTAAATGAAACCAGTCTTTATCTCATTGGCTGAGCTTGGGCTCCTCTGTGAAGGCCCTCTGCCTGCTGGATTTCCCTTGGCTCAATCCATGAATTTCCACCTGCTTTTTTTTCCCCCAAGCTTTCAGAAAAGGTCAGAAGAAGGAAGCATTTACGTAAGTGCTTTGCTTCCCATACCTTTTGCCTCAAATGCCGTACATTGCTGGGCTGTGATAGTGTGGAAACCAGGACCAGCCCTGAAATCTGACAAGCCAGATTAGAAGCCTGCATCTACCATCAGCTTGCATAGGGCAAATCACTAACGCAGCTCAATCTTAGCTTCTTCATCTCTTCAGGGGCTTCTTGGGTGGAGTAAATAAAATAGCGGTTTGGGGCGCCTGGGTGGCGCAGTCGGTTAAGCGTCCGACTTCAGCCAGGTCATGATCTCGCGGTCCGTGAGTTCGAGCCCCGCGTCGGGCTCTGGGCTGATAGCTCAGAGCCTGGAGCCTGTTTCCGATTCTG